ATTTTTTATTATAAATTTATTTATTTAATTATATTATTAAAAATGTAATATATATATATATATATTATTTTTTATTATATCATACAAATAAATAGATTATCCTAACTTTTTTATAAACTCAAATCTAATCTTCTTTTTTTTAAATATAACTTTTTTAGAAGTTTAAATAAAATATTCTTATTTAAATAAATTAGGTTAAGTCATATGTCCTATTTAAAGTTTGACTTATTCTTATTCTTAAAAAAATAAGTTCATTTTCAATTTCACATGAATTGTTATCTCTGAAATTATAATCAAATTTTTAATTATTTTTCTAATAAAAGTATTTTTATAGATTTTTTATTTATTTTAATACATTATTTTAATATTTAATTTTAATATATTTTAAAAATTTTAATAATTTTATATTACAATATAAATTATTTATTATAAATCTAAAATATAATTTCTTATAGAATTTAGTTTTATAAAATAAAAATATATACCCTATATACTAAAAAAAATAGTTTTTTATATTTAAAAAAATTAATTAAAATATTTACTATAGATTTACTTAAAAAAAATCTCCAATAGCATTTTATTAATAAAAAAACAAATATATTTTTTTTTACTTAAGAAATAAGGTTCGAATATTGTTGAGTAGCAGAGCATCTTGTTCGGTTAGGTTACCTTCGGTTTTCTTCATCTTCTTCGCAATGGCGCTTTCTTCAATAACTCAGTTCCTGTACATACTTTCCCCGATCTCTCTTCTTTCAATTACGATTACTTCTCTTCTCTTTCTTCAAAATTTTCTTTTAATCACCATATGGGTTTTATTGTTTTCATGTTGAGATTAGAAGGTATCAAATTTTAGCTGACCCACTTCACAAGCCAAATGAACTATTCAAGCCTTATTTTTTATTAGCTTTTCAAGTAATTCACATGCTCTCATTCTGATAATGGTGTCTGATTATACACTTTGACTTTAGAGTCTTGCTACTATTACTTTTATTATGACATTTTAGTATTTCTTATTTTTACTACTTACGAATTAGTTTGAGATGTTGGTTGAACATGTTAATAGTACAAGGTGGGTTTATAGTATTATATATTTCGGGGATTAGTATGATTTTACTACATGTTAGTATATTACTTGGGAACATATACAATTTTGGGTAAGTGGAATTCTTGTCAAACTTATTTCCACTAGTCAATAATGTTGAAAGAGTGAATTTACTGACTTTATTAGTCATTTGAGTGGTTAATGAATATAAACAATCAAACATCAATATGGAAAATCAATAATAATTGAATATGGAATTTATAGTCATGATCTACTTTGTAATATGAAATTTAAATAATTAATTTGTTCACTAATCACTGTGAAATCTTGAAATTTTACATTTTCTGAAATATTGCATGTTTCTGTCTTCCTCATTATTGTGTGTTAAATATGATCATTTCATTTTTTTTTTGTCTTCACTCTTTGTTACACTTTGTCTTGATAAGCTTGTGGTTGTGGTTGCTTATTATTATTGACTCCATTTCAGATATTGTGATAGAAGTTCCTTCTCCTTTTGATAATGATCTATGTCCTCCATGGAGATTGATCTTGAATTACCTGTATGTGAGCATGAGAAGCTTAATGTTGGAAATGATGTTACAGATACAGCATGTGATATGCATATTGAAGAGCAAAGCATTAATCCTTCCTCAATGACTGAACATTGTAAGGAAGCTTTAGGTGAAAATGCTTTATTTTTCCAGGATCAGGTGGATTTGAATTCCAATCAAGTGGATGCTATTGGTAAATTTCCCTTTAAAGAACCACAGAATGGTTTGGAATTTGAATCCAAGGAGGCTGCCTATTCTTTCTACAGAGAATATGCTCGCTCAGTGGGATTTGGCATCACGATAAAAGCCAGTCGACGCTCAAAAAAGTCTGGTAAATTTATTGATATTAAAATTGTTTGTTCCAGATTTGGAAGTAAGCGTGAGTCCAGTACAGCGGTTAATCCACGACCATGTACAAAGACAGACTGTAAGGCTAGCATGCATATGAAGAAGAAGCTAGATGGTAACTGGATCATATACAATTTTGTAAAAGATCACAATCATGAGATCTGTCCAGATGATTTTTTCAGGGGACGTAGCAAACAAACAAATAATGTAGCTTGTCAGAAGAAGGGTATGCAATTGGCTCTAGATGAGGGAGATATGCAGTTGATGATTGAATACTTAGTGTCTATGCAGTGTGAAAACCCCAACTTCTTCTATGCAATAGACCTGGATCAGAATAGACATTTGAGAACTGTATTTTGGGTTGACTCAAAAGGAAGACTTGATTATCAAAACTTCCATGATATTGTGTTGATCGACACTTTTTACCTGAAAAACAGATATAAAATTCCTTTTGTTCCTTTTGTCGGAGTCAACCATCACTTCCAGTACATTTTACTTGGATGTGCACTAGTTGGGGAGGAGACTGTTTCAGCTTTTATATGGTTAATGCGAGCATGGCTTAAAGCAATGGGTAACCTACCTCCAAAGGTGATTATCACAGACCAAGAGCAATGCTTGAAAGAAGCTGTCGTGGAAGTGTTTCCAGATAAACGTCATTGTTTCTGTCTATCACAAATTTTGTGTAAAATCACCAAGAATTTGGATTATATCATAGATCAAAATAATAATTTTATGGAAAAATTTGACAAATGCGTTCATAATTCCTGTTCACATGAGCAGTTTGAAAAGAGATGGTGGAAACTGATCAATAGATTTGAACTAGAGGATGATGAATGCGTTCAGTCATTGTATGAAGACCGTAAAAAGTGGGTGCCTACATACATGCGAGACGTTTCTTTGGCTGGGTTATCAACAACTGTAAGGTCTGAAAGTATTTCATCATCCTTTGACAAGTACATTTGTGTTGATTCTACCTTTAAGGAGTTTATTGAACAGCATAAAGTTTTCTCTACAGACAGTTTTGAGATGGAAGCGAAAGCTGATTCTGAAACAAGACAAAAGAAACCTGCATTAAGATCTTTATCACCTTTTGAGAAGCAGCTCTCTACAATTTATACATTTGTCATATTTGGAAAATTTCAATTGGAGATATTAGGAATGATGTCTTGTCATCTCCAGAAAGAAACAGAAGACAGGGCAAGTGTAACATTTCTTGTTGATGATTTTGAGAAGCAGAAGAAGTTTATTGTTTCTTGGAATGAAGCAGATTTGGATGTCTGTTGTTCATGTTGTTTATTTCAATACAAAGGTTTTCTATGTAGACATGCAATACTTGTTCTTCAAAAGTCTGGCATAACCAACATCCCATCCCGTTATATTTTAAAACGTTGGGCAAAAGATGCAAAGGCCAATCGATTTGCTGGTGACATAAGTACCAGGACTTCTAATAGAGTTCAACGTTTTAATGACCTTTGTAGGCGGGCAATTATATTAAGTGAACTTGGGTCTTTATCTGAAGATACTTACCGTGTTGCATCTCAGGCATTGGAAGAAGTCTATAAACAATGTGTGAATGCAAACAATTCTGCTGGAAGCACTTTAGAGCCCAACAAGATGGCTCTCAATGTTTTTGATGTTGAAGAGAAAAATTATGGCTGCCACAGGGCAAAACCTACCAAGAAAAGAAAGTCGTTTAATAAAAGGGTTAGTTGATGATCAACTAATATGGTGTTGCTAGAACTTGTTTTGACTTTGTAGTAAGTTGTGGGCATTCTTAAACAGATTTTGTATACTACAGGAATGCTCTGATTCAGAAAGAATCAATATCAAGATGCTGGACGATTTCCAAAAGCGGGTTTGTCACTTGTTACTTTTTTGGCCTTGTCTTATATGAATAAATCTTGGAGCTCTTATATTGCTCATACTTTGTAGGATCTTCAGTGGTCTTTTATGTGCAGGAACAGAGAAATTCGAGAGAACCCAACTTCGATAATTGTTACATATCTCAGCAGGACATGCAAACTGTGGTATATATTTCTGATTCCATGATTGTCCAAAAAAGTATTTAGTCATAGTACCCTAAAAGTGAAATTTTTTTTTTTTTAATGTTTATTCTCCTTTATTTGTTATTTTATTCTTTTGGGTACATAAGATAAGATTTTGTTCTCACAGGACTTAGATTCTAGAGCTTCAACTCTTGATGGCTATTATGGGGCTCAACAGAATGTGCTTGAAGACGTATTCTCTAGTCTTCTCTGTACCTTTTTCTTTTATAGTTGGATAGTGTATAAATTAATTGCCGTTTGTACATTTTAAAGGCGCAGATGAACTCAGTTTCTGTCGTGCATGATGGCTATTATAGCAGTCAACTGGCCATTCTAGGGCTGGTAGGGCACATGTACTTTCTCCTAGGCTCTTTTTTTGAGAGATGTTTATGGATCTGATATTTTGTTTCAATCTTCAGGGGCAAATGCCTTCCGTGTCAAGCCGTGGTCCACATTATGGGATGCAGCACAGCATACAAGGACCGATAGTGGGTTATGGTTCACATTTTGAAACTATATGACTTAAATTTTTTAAATCAAAGATAATTAGCTTCAGTTTTTTTTTCAGCTTCAAGGACAGCTCACTTTCAGAACGCCAACAGTGCAAGGGTGTTTTGACCTTCAAGATAGTATAGAACTTATGGTAATGCACTTGCATGACTCAGTTCTAATTTGCATTTTAGTTTGCATTGCAAAGTAAATTCACGAGATATGATTTTGCTTCAGGAACAACCTATTAGGGCCTCACAGTCCCATGGCATTACATCAAAGCAAAGCAACTAGATGTTGATAAATCACTTTCCTGATAGCTGGAAGAATACTGTTTCTTTCTATGTCAGATTATAACGCTATATGTATATAGGTAATATGTGTTAAAGCTCTTTTTGCCTGGGAAGTAGGGGAAAATTGCACTCTTGACCAAAAAATGAGAAAAAGATAGCTTCTACTATAGTGTCTACCAAAAATCTTGCACTTAGCTTTGTCATAAAAAGCTAGTTTGGTAGATTAAAACAACCCACACAAAGAGTAACGGCTCTAAGAACAAAGCATCTACTTGTGAGTGATTCTAAATTTCTAATGGTGGTGTGCGAAATGCAACTGCACAGCGTTCTGAAGCATAAACCCTAAACCTTACGTACCATATCCGATTGAGAATTAGAAATGAATGGGGAGGTATGTCAAGAATTAAGTGCATGCACAACAATTGCATAATAAAATAAATTTTTATTCCCACGATTCCATGAAATAGAGTAATCAAGTACCAGATGTTACAGCAAGAAGAGGAAGTGCTTATAACGATTGCATATTCGTGTTTTTGGATTGCTGTTGGAAAAGTTCAAACTATGATTTGGTAAAAGCTTGTCTATGATTGATTAGGGGTGGGCAAAATGAACTGAATTTATAAAAATTATACTGAACTTAAAAGTAATTTTCATGAACTGAACTAAACTAAATATTAGTTGAGACGAACTGAACTGAACTATTTTTTTGTATCATTGAACTGAACTTAACTATATTATAAAAACTTGAACTGAACTGCAATTTAAACTGCACTAAACTGTTATGATATTTTGAATTGAACAATTTTGACTCATTGATTTATCAAAATAGGGCACATTTGCCAACTTTACTTTATTTTTCATTTTATTTAAATTTTTCAAAGAAAAAAATATAAAAGTAAGTCAAACAAACTTAGTGAATTTTAAGCCTAAAAATAAGTAGTCTAACATAACTCAATTGATCCGTTAGTTCGACAAAATTGATATAATTTTTTTTTCATCATTTTTTTTCTAAAGTTTTGGTTATTAATCTATCGAGTTAATCCATTAAGACATAACATGTTAGACACATTTAATTTTTATCCTTTTATAAAAATAGTTTAATTTTTATAATTCAGTTTAGTTTTATAGTTCAGTACAGTTAACTTTTCAACAGTTCAGTTTAGTTTTTTTTTAAACAGTTCAGTTTTTTTACAAACAGTTCAGCTTTTTATAATACAGTTCAGTTCATCACCAGTTCAGTTTAGTTCAGTTTTTTTTTGCCCGTCCCATTGATAACTTTTATCCAATTCATGGTTTAAAGGTTTCCAACTAAAATCCTAGAATTTGACTGTGGCAAGGTCATTGTGATGTTTCCTATATAAATATAACTTCACATGTCGTGTTTGCAATCATGCACACCCTTTCCTTGATGAACAATAAGTGTGGGTCTGTGACTAAGGATGACAAATATATTCGTACCCACGGGTAATACCCGAACCTGTCCCGACTTTGACAGGAAATACCCGGTTTGACCGGGTATGGAAACGGGTACGGGTAAAACCCGATATATTAAATCGGGTACGGGTACGGGTATGTACTTACCCGCCCCGTACCCGTCCTCGTTCCTATTTTTAATTTAATACTCACTTTTAATTTAATTATATTAAAGAATTTTAATATTTTTTTATGTGTGATTATTTATTATAATATTAAAAATATTATATTTAAAAAAAAATAAAAATTTTTGACGGGTACGGGTACGGGTATACCCGATACCCGACAGGAACGGGGATGGGGATGAAAATCACATACCCGACGGGTACGGGTACGGGGACGGGGATGGATTTGCCTCGCGAGGACGGGGACGGGTATCATAAAACCCGTACCCGTCCCGCCCCGTTGTCATCTCTATCTGTGTCCCGACAAATAATGAGAGGTTCATTACTTCATTATTTCTACGCATGTTTTTTCTAATATTTTGGTTGAGCTGTTTTTAATCCGAAAAGTACCATTTGTTAATGGTAAGAAAATTTATTAAACAAAATATACATTAAGCCCAAAAGCACCATTTACTCTCTTGACTAGTACCAATAAAATAAAATAAAATAAAATGAAACAGTGGATTCAACAGTTAAAAGTAGGTAACCAAGCACCAAAATTAATATTTGTATTGAATTTGAAAGTTATAATTGTAAATGAGTAATTTAAGAAAATGGTATTCAACAATTTAGTAGGTTGTTTTATTTGCATCAATTTTATTATAATCTTAATATTCATCATTAGCTTGTCATGATTATTGCTCTCCAGTTTTTTCACCTGAATTTCCACATTATAAAGAAATTGAATTCGATGATTACCATATTAGATGTATTATATTATTTTGCTTAATTTCTATATATATATATATATATTATTTTTTATTTTTTATTTTTATTTTTTTATTTTTTGCTTTGAAGTGGCTGATAATATTAATTTTTTTATGAAGTTCATCTTACATAAGCAATTTTGTTTTATCAATAATAAAAAAATACAAGCGATTTCTCTGACCACTAACGGACTGTAGTGGTTCTTATACAAACGATTAACATGGGCTATTTATTTAATTATATTTTTATCCATTTAATTTAAATTACAAGCAATTTTAGGTTTTTCTAATTTTAAAACTGAACAAAATTGGTTCCCGTTGATTTTTCTTACTTAAAACTCTCATATTGTTATTTTTTACACAAAATCTTCATTAAAACCGATTAACTAAAAGAAAAAAAATAATCTCATTTTATCGAAAGAATATCATGTTTTTGTTAAATTTTGTTAAAAAAATAAAATTATTTAATATCTTAAAAGCCTTCAATTATTTGAATAAAAAAATAATAATTTGAGGGTTTTAGACTTTGGTACAAGAAAGAAAATTAAATATGTTTAAGCTTGAAAAAAAAAATATAATTAGTAACAAAAGAGTTTAGCTCAATTGGCTGTAAACACTTTGGTGCCAACGAATCCCATATATCAAAAATGAAAAACATAATTAGTTAAAAAAAATTAAAAATCATAATTGTAAATAATTTAAATTAAAATGACAAATTTAATTAAATCTAGATTTTAAATATTTAAGAAAAATGATCCTTTTAATCATGAAATATTAAGTGCAAATAAAAGTGGATAGAATTGATTTTGAATCATTAGAACATAATAATAACAAATAATTAAATTAATCTCAATTACAAATTTTTTATATTGGAACATGAACATGTAAGAAAATATTATCAAAATTTTAGTGACACTCATTATAACATTTTCTTATTATTACTCTTTCTAATATTGATTTAAAATCATAAATGCGAGTGAGTTTTATTATTAAATTAGTTGAGAGACTTATTAAATGAGACATAAAACTAAAAAAATTATAATTTTTAATAAATTTTTGTAAATAATAAAAAGAGTCTTAGTAAAATAATTTCATTAAGTTTTCTCAAGCATCATCAAACTTAATTAGTATCTTCACTTACATCTTCCTTTTTAGCCAACATTTTCACACAACAATTACCCTCTCTCTCTCAACATTTGCTTGAGATCCAAGGCCAGCTTCAAATATCTAGAATCAAATATGTATTTTGGTGAAAAATATAATAACTAAATTATGTGATATTCTAAGTTATCTTAATTCTTAAACTATTGACGAAAAAATATTTTCTAATATATTATGCATATCAAAATAAAATTAACTTTTATTATCAATAAATAAAGGACTCTATTATTATTAATATATAAAATGTAACACCAACACTCTTATTTGTGTCTTTTCTATTTATTTATTTTCTTGCATGATTTAAGTAAGAAATTTTATATAAGAATTTGAAATTTTTAAGAAATATAAATGTGCTCAGAATAATAAATACTAGTTAATATTTATTCTATTTTTGAATCTAAGTTTAGAAAATAACAAGATGATAAGATTGTTCTTAATTAATTATATATTCTCAAATAACAATTTTTAAAAATATTATGCATTATATTCTTAAGTGTAAAATAATTTAATAGACAAATAGATATTATTGATTTATGAATTATTTAAGATTAAATTATTTAGTTAACCTTAATTTTATTTTCAAGATGAATACTAAAATAACACTCTTTAATCTATGAGAAAAATAAGAAATAATAATTAGGTAAATTAAAATTTTATTTCAAAATTTAATTAAACTTAATAATTAACAATGGATTAATTATATATATATATATATGAATTCATGTGTAATAATAATAATAATAATAATAATAATAAATTATGATCATGTTTGCACGTAAAAATTATACAAATAAAACTAATGCAATTAAGAAAAATGAAAAACAGGAAATGCGTATATTTATATTATAAGGAAATGGTTTGCGAAGATGAAGTAATAGAACTGACATGACATGATTTACATCAGACCTTTCTGTTTAAATAAAAAGACAAAGTGATAATAAAAATCTAAAAGAATCCTAAAAAAGATTTACATGAGTAAAATGTGTTGTGACTTTTTTTCAAACAGTCAAATTACCTACCCTATTTTAGTTTAAATATTCATGGAGGAACTAAATTATAATCTCTCACGGAAGTAAAAGAAAAGCTATACTACTGTTCAGCTCTCATTGTTGTTACTGCATTAGAGATTTAGAGGTAAGGGACAGAGGATATTTAATTTCATTTTTGTTTCACAAAGAGTTCAAAGGATTGAGATTTATCCCCTCAAATTCCTTTTTAAGTTTTGTTTGAATATAATTGTATTTTGCTATGATTTTCTTTATACTTGATCTTATATTGTGATAAATATATCCTGATTTTCAATTATCACAATGCTATAAACTGAATTCAAAATATAGACTAAGAACGTGTTTGCAACTTATAGTGGGTAGTATTGTTTACTTATAAATATGAAGAAAAAATATGATAATGTATATGATAATATTTATTTAGAAAATTAACTTTCTATAAGTAATAATAATGTCTTGAAAACTAAGAATTCTGTAATATTTAGATTATATTATATTATATATAATTATAATAGTTACAGTAAGATTAAAATTTAGATTATATGGTGAATATATTTTTGTTAGATTTTTCAATGTTCCATATTTTATATATTAAATAATTATAATTATTATTATACATATATATTAATATATTAAATTATGAATAGTAATTTTTTTAAATTTTGTGTGAGACAAATAAATAAAGATATATATATAATAATTGTAATATAATGTTTATATAAATTTATCATTAAAAAAATTCCTCCACGACACTTCTTAACAGAGTTTTGGATCTATTTTTATTCATGATAAATCATCGATTTGATAGTCGAGTGAAGTCATACTCAATCCTTTAAATACGATTTTGAAAATCTTGAGAAAAATATATATATATATATATATATATATATATATATATATATATATTAAATTAGTAAATGAATTCATAACTCTTAAATATAATGTAGTAATAAATATTGATGAAAAACTATCGAATCTGTTACACACTTAGGTTTTGGAATACATGATAGAAAATTATCTAAAATAATTATAATAGAGTTTCGTTAACAGTAATTTGTAATAGAGAAAGTATTATCCTTACGACTATATATAATATTAATGATAAATCAAATAAAAATTATAATATTTTTTTGATGTTTTAGAAAATAGTAATAATTATTATATTAATTTTATAGATTAAATGAGAAATAAAATCTTTTGACATAAAATTTTATACAATAATAAATATTTATTTTAATCTAAATATTGATCACCAAAATACATAAATAATTTAAAGTAAAAAAATATATAATTAGGTTGAAGTTTAAACTATAATTATATTTCAATTTTTGATTAAATTAGGATCATGAAGATACATGTTATTATGATTGAATTTTGATGTTTGATTGATCATACCTCTTATAGGTATTTGTGAGAAGTACCATGTTACAAAGGAAATTTTGTCAAAAATTTTAAAAATATTTATGAGTTAATGAGGCCTTAGATTATAAGTTTAGAGTATTTAATGGTAAACCATGTATAGAAGGCATGTGTTCAAGGAAGTTTAGTAAGTCACACTTTGGTATACTATGGGATGAAGGCAGAGATCACTATAAAGGTCTATAGGGTATGGTATCAAGGGGTGAGACTCCTAGTGGTTAGGCTAGCTACCTTGAAATTGTTGTATTTTTGAGTGATATTTCAAAAAGGTTAATATGTTTATTTAATTATAAAAATATTTTAAATTAATTATGCTTTATTAAATAAATATTTTAATTAAAATTAGTCTTGTTGACTTGGTCTTATCTTATATTTTGACTTGGTTTTTAAGAGATAATATATTTTATCTTATGATTTGGTCAAAGGTAATTTTGAGAAACAACTTCTCTTCATTATAAATATGACATACAGAAGATTTTGAGCAGATATCTCCACACACATCTTTTCTTGATTATATCATGAGTTTCATGGGTTATTCTCACTTAAGAAAACTTGTTAGTTCTGTTTCCTCAATTATTAATTAGGAAGAACCTGTTATATCCTGGGGGACTTGCACATCATGCGGATAAGTTCTTAAGGATAGTGCTATCACACGTCTCAGGTTATTATTAATTTTTGTGATTGTATAATTTCCATATCAGATAGAGAATTCCTATCCGTGATGAATGTGAAGATGGACAACAATGTACAACAGAAACCAAGACAATCATGTAATTTGACTTGATAACCCTAACACCTACTTAATATTATTAAGATTGGTTAAGCATATACCCCAAGTGAAGCCTTGTGCTAAATTGTTGGGAAAAAAAATAATGATAAAGATGGTACTATTATGAGGGGGATATGAGATTCCAATCAATTCCCAAAATAAATAAAATACTTGATGATGATTATCAAGTGAGGTATGGATCCATACAAGTTTAGACTATCTTACAATAACTTGGGTTAAATCCTAGGAGCCCTTGCACACATAATATTAGTTAATTGATTGATTGTAATTAATTGCTTAGGTATACCCTATGAACTATAATCACCTCACTTCTTTCTTTTCTTTTCCTTCCATGTATGTGAGACGAATTCATGATTAGCAGTCAACACTAATGGAGGACACTCCTATGATGGGGAGATTTTTCCTACAGTTCAATAACCACAATTACTAGACCCATGATAACTTTTTTAAGGATGTCACTTTTAAAGGGTTGGTGTCATTTCAATTCCTATTTATAGACCATCAAGTTAGGATGTAACCTGCCATCTTGGCCATTTCATTGATATTGACACTACCACCTGCTCCTAGATATGTTAGAGTTGACTCATCACCTTTATCCTTCGATTCATCATCTCTTGACACTTTTGATAATGAGCAAGCAATTCCAATGATTCAACTTTATAAGCAAATGGATTCCATGCTCTTTCACCTCCACATGTACTAGATTTGAGGCATCACTTGCCCAGTGAATAATTTGATGATGGAGAGTATGATATTGAAGATGATGATTCAAATATTGAGGAGGAATCAAATCTTGAGGAAGACCTCACAGAGTGACATGCATGACTAGCTGACTTTAGAGTAGTGGAATGAGAGTATATATTTGGTTGCTTTGACATATATACCCTTATATTTTGTTTGTTTATAATGGGGTAGTGAAAAACTTTTTGTACGTGTATATCTTTCTAATGTTAGTAAGTATAATTTTTTATAGAAAAAAAAAATGTTGATGAGTTGTAAAGCATGATCTAAGAATATGTTTGTGACATTGTATGATGATGTATGACTTAACTAATAATGCATTTATATTTATATCTATATGACGTTTATTCTATAATAAATTTATTTTAATTTCATACTAATACACTACAAAATTAATTTTTAATAACAATGTTCTTTTTAAATATATTCATAATAATAATAATAATAATAATAATAAAGCACTTAGATTTTTTAAAATTAGTTATTTTAGTTCATCTTTAATCATTTAAATAAATTTAACATGTCATACTAATATTGTTTAACTTGTCAAGGTGTCGCATAAAATGTAATGCATAAACCAAAAAGTTTAATAAACATGTAAATCAAGGAGTTTAATGTTAAAAATATGCTGATAAATTAGTTAATTAAGTTAATAATATTAAATTTATTTTAAAATTTAATTTTTTTAAATTTAGTCTTATCTTTTAGGATAAATTGGGAATTTTTTTAATATAATTTACGCAAATAGTAATAATAATTTAACATGTAGTTACAGTTACACAAAGGTGAGGGAGTAAATTAGGAATAGTTAATTAATTTAGCTTATAAGAAATGAATAAATATTTATGTGGTAAAGGTTAGCGTGGGGGGTTTGTGTAATAAATAGTGTGGGTTTGGGTATTGGGATGTGATGCTGATGAGTGAGGCGAGGTGTTTTTCCTCTTCAAACACGCTCCCGCCAAAGACACGAAGGTGCGTTTGTGGTGTTTTTGCTGTTTGGAAGAAGCAAAGGGATGAGTGCTGTGAACATCACCAACGTCACCGTCCTCGACAACCCTGCTTCCTTTCTCACTCCCTTTCAGTTCGAGATTTCCTACGAGTGTCTCGCCGCTCTCAAAGACGGTAACTTCTTCTTTCTTCTTTTTAGGGTTTCACTTTCCATTCTAATGCCTTCTACTTTACATTAGGATTAGGGTTTATGTTTTCAGCCCCTCTCTGTATACAGATCTTTGCCACGCCTCCTGCTTTCTCTTTTCTCTGCATTCTCTTAAACCCACTCCCAGGGTTTTTCTTCTTATAATCTGTGGAATCCCCAATTTACCCTAAAACTCCCCTCCTCTAATTTAACAATTAAAAGTTTGCTTATCCATATCACTCATGATTGGATGTGGATCCATACTACAATTTTTCTCTCTTTTCGATACAGCCTTTGACCTTGTTCTCGAGTGAAATCACTTTTTTTCAAATTTTAGTTGAGGACTTCACTTTTGTCCTCCTGAATTATTCACCACATTGTATATGTGAAAACCCATTGAAAATATTTTCTTCTGAGTGGTTTTCAGGGAACGAACATAATCCAAATTATCATGGCACATTTGGGTCTAAAAGTTGTAATAAAGGCTAGTTTTTTTTTTTTTTTTTCATATCATCTTCACTTTAGTTTTACTCCCTCATCATCTTCACTAAATGTTTGGTAATGTATGTTGGCTGTTGGGTACAGATTTGGAATGGAAGCTCATATATGTTGGATCTGCTGAGGATGAGACCTATGATCAATTATTAGAGAGCGTCCTTGTTGGTCCCGTCAATGTTGGGAACTATCGCTTTGTTTTACAGGCAAGCTTTTTGAATACTAATCTTTTGAATGCTGTGTAACATGCAATTGCTCATACGCTCAACTTTTTAAATGCCGTTCGGATTGCAGGCAGATCCACCAGATCCATCAAAAATTCGTGAAGAAGATATAATTGGTGTCACGGTGCTTCTGTTGACATGCTCTTATCTGGGTCAGGAATTTATTCGTGTTGGCTATTATGTGAACAATGATTATGATGATGAGCAGCTGAGAGAAGAACCTCCACCAAAGGTTTTAATTGATAGGGTTCAAAGGAACATTTTGTCCGATAAACCAAGGGTCACAAAGTTCCCCATCAATTTCCACCCTGAGAACAACGAAAATGAAGAGCAACCCCCTACATCTGAGCACCCATCTGAAACTGGAGAAGATCCACTTGCCTTAGTTGATCGTGATCCTCCAGATGAGAAGGGTTCTTAACATTTTGTAGGTATACAGACCTTTCAATTCCTAAATCTCCAACATTACATTCACTGTATGGGTTATGATGCCGCTTTTGTGAATCTCTGTTCGATGATGTGAATGAGATTTGAGTTCTTTTGGGAGTAGGGGCCATGTAGCACTAGGTTCAAAATGTTTGTAATGTATGAAAACAAGTTTCTTTGAATGAAGTTTTGCAATGCAAACCCGACTTTATGGATTATCACAGTTTCAGAAATCACGATCTTTATGATTTGTAATAGCTAAGGTTTCACTGTAAGCTCTAGGTCATTTTTACCTTCTTTTTCTATTCAGTTGATCTGTGATTTTTTGCTTAATAATATAATGACTAGGGCTGGCAATAGGCCGAGGAGGGTGAACCTTGGGCACAACGGTAAGATTGTTGCCTTGGGGTGTAAAGGTCACATGTTGAAAATCTTTGAAATTGCCTCTTCCTTTGCAAGGATAAGGCTGTATATATTTATCACCCCATTAGGAAGCCTTGTGCATTGGGACAGCATTTAATAAAATGACTTGGCAATAGACTGAGGCTCTGCTTATTGTGGCTGATCATGGATTGGGTTATTCGGCCAACTTGATCTGGCTCGACCCAAACTAAAAACATAACGTTTTTGCAAGTTAAGTAACCAGAATTTGAATTTTTACATGTTTGACAAAGTTCAGTGTATGACATCTCTAATGGCTCACTCCACTTTTTGGTTCTCAATTCGCTTTTGGTGGGTCTTTATTATGCCACATAATATTTAGGAATTGTAGTAATTTTTATTTCAATGATGAACCTATTTAAGAACATAGAGTAGGTCTCACATCTTACCTCATCTTTATATATATATATATATTTAAACTTATATGTTTCAAGATAACTCGTCTTAATTTTGAAACAGTAAATCTATAAAAATAATATATTTCGATAATTTTTTTTATCACAACAATTAAAACTTTTCATTAAATGCTCGTACCATCTCGTTGAGGCATTGAGATGATGTTGACTAATGTAACATGGTATAAATATCATTTATGAGGTAGTATTTCATATTACATTACATATATTCATAGTAAAGTGTAAAATGGGAGTTTTTCAATCCAAAATGTCATCAAACAAATTAGATTGGTTTAGCATGGTAAAATCATTGTTTGAAGTCATAATGACAAAAGATGTATTTTAATTTTTATAACAAGTCTAGTGATCAGGGGCCTTTGGAACCTTGGGCTGCAAAAAAGTTATACTTATACATATAAATATTTATGTATAAAGTTATTCTAATAGGAAAAAATATACAAATAATTTTTTTAATGTTTTATATTCTATTTTTTTTAATAACTTCTTTCTCTATTTTCTTTTCCTTTCTATATCTTATATTTTCTTTCTCTCCCCTTCATATTTCTCTCATTACTAATTTCCCAAATATTTTTTAAAGCCTCTGTATTTTTATAAATATTTCTTGATAACAAATAAATTAAAAATCATTTCATTATGGTATTTTTTTAAGCAGGGAATGTATGATTCTTATTGTTATAATATTAAGAATTAAATTTTGCTTTAACAAAATTCGGGGGTCAACTTTATTTTTAAAATGTTAAACATGATATCCAACTACAATATAGAATTCCTATCATTAGAATTGCTTATTTGAATTTAAAAAATTAAATTTATTTCTCCTATCACAACATTATGGTCTTATAATTTTTGTTTAATTTTGATAATTTTGATTTTCATAACATGTAACCAATTACTATAAATATTTTAATTTTAATTAAATTTAATATATTAATTTAAAATTACAATTTATTTTGAATAAAATAAGTTTTAGTTCTTGAACTTATGTAAATTTTTATTTTTAGTCTCTAAACAAATTTTATTTGGTTTTAGTTTCCAAAAAATTTCTTCATGAGCTAAAAATCTTGATGTCATAGACAAAATATGTTAATAAGACAAATAGTTTAAGAATTAAAAGATTTATTTGTTTTGATTTTTGATTTTGATTTTGATTTTTTTCCCAATTCGAACTTAATTGTTCCAATTAAGGTTGAGTTAGTTTGATTTGAATCATTAGATTATGCTGAATATTTTTATTTGATATGAATTTTTTTATTTTATATTAATGTAAGGTAAAAGAATTTCTTGTATTTTAACGACTAAATATTTATTTTAAGATCTTTATAATATGGTGGTACTCATAAAATTTGTTTTCCAAAATTATTTTCATATGATATAAATCTAAAAATAAAATAAATATGATAAATTTACTCATATTATTAATTAAAATATACGACTTGAAAAGTAAGATTTTGCTTACTTTTTTAATTGGACATCTTGTGAGTATATAGACATGTTCGTAAGTTTGTGGACATCACAAATAATAGGTCATGATTATTTTTAATCTGCATAATAATAAGAACCTTTTAGGTTCAGCCAATGAAATTTGCAGGTTTAACTTCCAAAGCTCGCAGACTACCCACTTCATTATAGGGGTAATGATAGATGTATTTGGATAAATGTTTGATGTTTATTTTTAAGATATAAATTAAAACTTTGATATTTGATTGTCTATTTAGATTTTTATGTTTGATTAATGGTTGATATGTTTGGACCTGTCAATTTAAAAAACATTGAGATTGATGTTTTTTAAGACTCAATTTTAAAGACATTAAGATAGCAAGACTTTGGGCCCGTTTATTTTGCAAACCAAACTTCTCAAACTTTAAAAACGTGAACTTTATAGAGGACTGATTTGTATACTTATCTCCATCTTCTATATACATAAATTAAAATAATCATTTTGAACAAAAGTGTTCTTAAAACTTTTAATTTAATAGAAACATTGTTTTTTTAACATTTTTCTTAACCCGTTATTTTTATTAATCCATCATTTTCATCTTTTAATTCTAAATTGAATTTTAATATTTATATATTGAAAAATATTTATTCATTATAAAATTTAATTATATAAATATTAATAATACACTTTTTTAACACATTTCTTCAAATATATTTTTAGTTAAAAATTTATTGAAAATTATAAATTTGTTTAATAACATGAACTTTTGTGGAAATGGAGTATTGTAGAAAGTTGAATAGTGTGGGAAGTTGGAATCGTTTTGCCTGGCTTCAGCAAAAGTTAAGTGTTAAGGTCCTACTACACTCATGGATGTCAGTGGGAGAAAAGTGAGCTCTGGAATCGAGCTGCTTCGAGTATGGAGGAGATTATTCAAAGAATCTTATATTATGACTCAAATTATTTAGCATAAATTTAAAGTATAATTTATACATTTAATTTTATAAAATATAAGTATTTATATAATACTCAGATTAAAAGAATAGTAAATAGATATTTATATAAAATAAAATATATTTGATTAAGCTAATGGCAATACATAGTTGGCAGCTGAGAAGAGAAAGCTGGACCTAGTGATTAACGAGTTTGGGTGCATGATTATTATCGCATTAACTCTTTGGAAGCTCCGGGTGACAGAAACAGGCATGCATAGCATGGTTGAGGTATAAAAGGGTGTAATGATGAGTGGTAAACACAATCTTACGATGCAAATACCAAACCCAACAATGAAAAATGTTTCCGATGTCCAATATCTTCATTGACCAATCTCTTTCATCTGGTATGCTTTCAAGACCTTTATAATATGGGTTTGCAAGCATACCAGCAGAAAGGTATTGGTCATACTCCATACTAATGATCATTCATTGATCACAAGTGTTGGCTATATATTTAGCTTTCCGCCACTGTCTTATGGGAAGTTAAGAGCAAGTCTTTATACTTGCTCTCTCCATGCAACTGAATCTCTTTCATTTTTTCATATCTATTTCATGTCCTCCATTGAAGGAACAAAAGTTAAGGAATTGCTTGTTTCACTCATCATCCTTAACTAGTATTCATTCATAATTCTTACTGAGCAACGGCAAAAGCTTTAAGCATATTTTCTGTCAATCTCTATTTTATATGGTTTGTTTCTGATTTCTAGAAGTTAGTTGGTTTTATCACCTTCTGCAGCAAAGAATCAAGTTGCTTTTTTAGGAAGTGTTCACATTCAAGATCAGGGAGATGCTGGGAGCAAAAATGATCTTAGTCAGAATCACTGTTCATGATTCATATCCATAGCTTTCTAAGGGTGCAGCTTCTAATGATAGTAAGTATATCCAAACTTTGTTGGAGAGAACTTGCATATATATTAAACAATTACATATTCTTTCACTCTGGTAATTTCTTATTAGAACATGATTTTGAGTTTGTCTGTGACTAATGACAATCACCTGCATTGACAAGTGCAGATTTTTGGGGACATGATGGTTTCATTGAGCTTGGTGGAAAGGAGACGCCAAAGACCAACTTTTAGTGTCATCTATTATGGTTTATATTCGTCTATTATTGTTGGATTCCAAATGTGTCAATATGCATCTCATTGAGTTAGCTAAGACCCTTATAGAAGGAGGTTGAGCAATTATAGTCATAGTAGTAGTGAATTACCAAGTGCAAAGCTAGCAGTTAGGCCTACAGAAATAGTGTATTGTAAGAAAAGTGAGAGCGGAAAGAATCATGCCAAAGACCAGTGTTGGATTCATGACTTACCAGAGAAGAAGGAGAAGAATATGTTGTAATATATTTGGGAGAAGGAAATAGGAAATTGTAATCCATCCCCATTGATTTATATACTTTAAAATTTATGACAGAAGAAACTGGTTCCAAGATAAAGGTACCACGTACTTATTGACTACTGGAACAAACTGAAACAATAAAAGATTAAATCATATGCAGCCTATAAATCAAATATTTAAAAATCAAGAAGTGTTCTGTTAAGAGAATTCAGACCCAGACTCACGAATTTGGATCAAGTATCATCTTAACACTGTTTAGGGTATTCATTTTGTCATAAAATAAATCTTGATTTGCATTGGTAAAATGATATTTTATTTAATATATTAATTTAAAATTATAATTTATTTTGAATAAAATAAGTTTTTAGTTCTTGAACTTATGTAAATTTTTATTTTTAGTCTCTAAACAAATTTTATTTGGTTTTAGATTCCAAAAAATTTCTTCATGAGCTAAAAATCATAGACAAAATATGTTAATAAGACAAATAGTTTAAGAATTAAAAGATTTATTTGTTTTGAATTTTGATTTTGATTTTTTTCCCAATTCGAACTTAATTGTTCCAATTAAGGTTGAGTTAGTTTGATTTGAATCA